TGTAAATGTTTATGAAAATTAATAAAATATAATTATAGGAGAAAAAAATAAAAAAGAACATGGGAGGACATGTCTGACCTCATGTAAGTTGGTTCTGTGTTATTGATGCTGTGAGCGGGGATAATTTCCCCCTGCGAAGTTGGTAAAGGTCAGATATGGCATTCCTCATGTGGCCCTTGCTTTTTATAGTAGTATTCTCTTTCTCTAACTCCCTACTTTTCCCAGCATGCTTTCTTTGTTCAAGGATTGGGCACCCCTGACAACATGTCCAAAGTATATGAGACAAAGTTTCACCATCCTTGCCTCTAAGGAACACACCAGTTGCACTTCCACAACAGGTTTGTTTGTTCTTTGAATAATATAGTTGCTGTTGTGTGCTGCCAAGCAGAATTGACTCATAGCTAACCCTCCAGTGGGTTTTCAGAGGCAGTAAATCCCACTGAAGGAGACTATCCATCTTCCTCTATGAAGCTATTGGTGGATTTGAACTGTGTGCCTTTGGCTTGACAAAGCAATTGCTTACCCACTAAGCCACCAGAGCTCCCTATGAAAAGCATAGAGTAGGAACCAACTCATACCTCCGGTTAGGTGGGTTTTTTTATTAATTTTAATGAAAGTTTACAGAGACTTGGGTTTCCAGTCATTCATTTGTTGTATTTTTCTCCCTGCCCTCCCCTTCCCCCACCCCAGTTAGTTTTCATAGGCAGTAAGTAACACATGGGAAGAGATTTTCCATCTTTCTCTTGCAGAGTAGCTGGTAGATTTGAACTGCATACCTTTGGGTGGGTAGCATAATTCCTTACCATTAATATTATAGGTAGGGGAGCTCTGGTGGCCTAGTGCTAAGAAATTGTGCTGCAATTCCAAAGCCACACAGTTTGAAGCCACCAACTGCTTTGTAGGAGAAGGATTGTAAATCTCCTCCTGTATAAATTATTGCCTCTGAAAACTCACTGGAGGGTCAGTTATGTGTCGGTCCCAAACTGACAGCATACAACAACAACATTATTGGTAGAAGCTCTGGTGCCCCAGTGTTAAAAACCTGTGCTGCAAGGCACACTGTTGGAACACACCAGCTGCTCTATGGGCAAAGGATGGGTGATCTCCTTCCACGCAATTTACTATCCCTGAAAATCCATTGGAGGTCAGCTATAGGTTGGTTCCAACTCAATGGCACACACCACCACCACCAATATTACTGGTGGTAGTAGTAGTCATATAGTGTAGTTACTATTCCTAAGTTAAGAACTCCTTTAATTTACAGTGCTAAATATCAGGGAAGTAGTCATGAGAAGAAAAAAAAATCCAAACCCAGCCCACTGCCATCAAGTTGATTCTGACTCATTTTTAGGTGGTAAATCTTTACGACTTCAGACTGCCTGTCTTTCTCCCTCAGAGTGGCTAGTGGGGGATTCAAACCACTGAGCTTTCAGTGCAATGCACTATGTCACTTAAGACCCTTTAGTGGAGGTAAAGAGGAGTGATGCGTGAGGGCAATCACATGGGGAGAGTAATCAGCAATCTCTAAGATGCTTTGACATTGCTCTTTCCTTTACCTGGCTGGAGTACACTTTGGGATGATTCAGTTGTATCTGTAAAATTTATGAACTTTTCCATAAATTTCAGTTTTAAAAACAATAAAGATACATAGTTCAAAAGTTAAATTACACCTTCTTAAAACAAAAACAAACAACAATCCAAAAATATCACAACAAAATTGTGTACTTAGAATGGTCACTTTTAAATATAAAATGCACCATTACAGGATAAAAACATCACTTCTCTGAATAATAGACAGCAAACACTATGTGTAATATTTCCATGCTATTTAGGTTCTTACCTTTTATATCTTACTCCAGGATTTTCATCCAGGGTGGCACACAGTGTAACTATCTGTTCAGCCATCATTTCCATAACAGCATCTTTTCCATTTGCATTACTAGGGTCTGGACTGTAACAGTAATAGAAGGCATCTGGTACATCAAGAGTATACACCTAAATTAGACCATAAGAAGGGCACATTGTCAATTTGGAGACTTGATTTACAAAGTCTATCAAGACAAACACAGTTATTGTTATTATTACGTGCTATCGAGTTGACTATGACTCATAGTGACCCTATGCACAGTAGCTCTGAATCCTGCTCTATCCTGAGCCAATTGTACTGTCTTTGACACACCTACCTTCAGTATCCCAGGTAGTATACTAATCTGTCTCATCCAAGTTTTCCTCTCCTGCGCTGTCCCTCCACCTTACCAAGCATGATGTCCTCCAGGGACTAGTCCTTCCTGACCAAAGTATGTGAGACAGAGCCTCAAAATCTTTATTTCCAATGAGTAGTTTTGTTTCACCCTGTATAGGACAGACCTATTTGTTCTCTTGGTGGTCCAGGATATGTTCAATACTTTTCTACAGTACTACAACTCAAAAGTATCAATTCTTCTTCTGTCATCCTTAGTTGCTGTTCAAATCTCTGATGAATAGCAAGTAATTGCAAAGACTATGGCCTAGATCAGGCACACCGTGGTCTCTAGACTGACATCATTACTCTTCACTACTCTGGAGAGGTCCCTAACAGCAGATTTTCCCTGTGCAAATTTTTAATTAATTTTATTCTTTAAGTTTTATTTCTTCTGTTGTGAATATACACAGCTAAGCATGTATCAACACATACAACTTAGTATCATCACTGATTATATTTTTAAAGTTGTGCAATCATTCTCACTCTCCTTTTCTGAATTAATCGTCCCTCATTAATATAAACTCACTGTCCTTTATGGGTAATTCTGTAGGACAGAGCAGGTAATATAGAAGTTTCTTCTAAGGCTTCCAAAGCTGTAAATATTTACAGAAAGAAGTCTGCCTCATCTTTCTCCCCTGGAACAGCTGGTGGATTTGAAAAGACAACCTTTAGGTTAGCAGACAAATGCCTTAACCACAATGCCACCAGAGTTCCTTTGATCTCATAATACAGCTTTTAAAAGAATATAGTACTTAATGCTGAAATTTTTTACTAATTAAGTTCAGCTGCTGTTTTGTTTTATAAAGACTTTAGGGAGTGTTTTTTGGTTTAAAGGTTAAAGCTGATCTCAGGGTAGTAGTTTTAGCAGTTCCTCCATTCTCCATGGCTATCTAAAGTCTCGAATCTGAGAGAATTTGCAATTCTATTCTGAAATGTACTGCCTTTAATCAGTTTCCTTCCATACAATTTTTGATCAAACTACTCTCTAATGGTAGCCAGATAGTATCCAGGTCACATGGCAAAGGAAGCAGTTATTCATAGAGGCAATTAGCCAAACAATCCTTCTCCTTCTCCGAGTCTGTTGTATGTATGTTGCTCCAGGGCAATAGAAACTAATTGTTGTGCCTTACATGGTTGCTTGTTAGAGGACAAACAGAAGGCAGAATAGAGCACCTAACATATTATTAGACCAATTAACTGGGATGTCTCATGACCTATACCCTTAAACCTCCAAATCAAATACCCAAATCCCATGAATTGTTTACCTGTACATAGTATCCTTAGCAGCATTTTTTTGGGCACATTGTTGCAAATATATCTACCAGACAACTTTTGCCAATTTAGTCTTTTACAATTTGTAACTTATTAACAGCAGTTATAATAATCAGTTGTATAGTGTTATCCTCAGTCAGTATTATTTTTTCCAACATTGGTAAGCCCCTTTTCTTCCTCCTTTCTGCCCTTAGAAACCATGAATAAACTTTGGTCTCTGTGTATTTGCCTTTGTCTTTTTATATGAATGAGATTATTCAATATTTTTTCTTTTTGTGACTGACATAGTTTGCTCAGCATAATGTCTTCAAGTGCCATTCATTCTGCACCACATATCCAGACTTCATTTATCCTACTGGCTGACCTTCCACTGTATGTATGTACCTCTTGTTTATCTTATGCCTGTTGATGGGCATTTAGGTTGTTCCCATGTTCTGGCTGTGAATACTAAGTACTGCAGTGAAGAGAAAGAAAAATTCCTATCAAGGGTAGGATTACCAGTCAATTATTCTAATTATTGCTAATAAGTGTACAAATCTGTCTCTGAGACTCTGCTTTGAAGTCTTTTGCGCACACTTGGGGTTATAACTTCTGGGTCACATAGTAGTTCTATTATTAGGTTTTTTAAAAAAACACCACACTGTTTCCAAGCTGGATCATTAGCATTCCCGACAGCAAGAGAGTAAGGATTCTTCCACATTCTTCTCTACATTTATTTTCCATTTTTTTAAATCTTAGTAATTCTAGTAGGAAAGAAATAGTAGCTCCATTTTGGCTTTGGTTTGCATCTCTCTGATGGTTGACACTATCTTTTCATTATGCTTAGCGATCATTTGGAATATCTTCTTTGGTAAAAATATCTATTCACGATCTTTGCCCATTTTATGATGAGGCTGTCTTTTTGTTGTTAAACTGGTCAAGCTTTTTAAAGTAATTTTCTTTCTTATTAGATCGTTGTCCTGTATAATGTAATCTTTTATTTTTTTCTTACTTTTCCTACTTAATCTACTTTGAATCCTTTAATTCTTGCCTCTTATACAGATTGTACTATTCCTTCTCACTGCATGTGTAATAACTGACAGAAACTGAGGTAGTTAAAGTCAAGTAAGAACTTACTATCTGGGACAAAGAAACAAAACAAAGTATAATTTAGGCAGGCGGTTCGAATCTACCAGCTGCTCCTTGGGTGAAAGATGTAAGAAATCTCCTCTCCTATGATTTTCAATCTCTGAAAATCTGCTATGAGTTGGATTCTGACTCATCAGCACATAACATTACACATGTATTAAAAATTTTAACCAATGAGAGAATATCTATAAAATTTCCAAAGTGTATACATAGCCTTCAGTTCTTTAGCATATATTCTTCATGTCTCTAAAATATACTCCCCAAAATAACACAGCGCTTTGCCAGGCACTGTATATATCTTATGATACTCTGCGAATTCTCAGATACTCATCCATTTAAAAAAAAAATTACTTACATGTAAATAATTGTATCAAAAACTTAGTATTATTGTGTTATTTGGAAAAGACAAAAGAGTATCTCTAATTGAAACTGAGAGTTTACCAATGAACTAGGTTTTTGTAAAGAATGATGGTAATCCCTCTTAGGATAATATACTGGTATAAAAAAAGGTGTTTAGCAAAAGCAGTATTTTAAGTAATCAACTATAGACAAACTCCTTTGCATTTCTTTTCATCCTAAAGTCATTTACAGCTGTGAGCATAACCCATTATACATAGTAGCAGCCTGATCACAGAAAGATACAGCTGAGCCCAGTCCATTTATCTCTGTGCTACTCAAAGTTAGCTGGCTGTATTATTTGTTAATACTTGGACTGGAGTTTTTCTAAGAGCTGACTGTCCCACTGCAAAGATAACATAACTTGTTCAAAATGCTTAGTGATCTTTCCTTCAAAGTATCTCCCTATGAAAATATTTTCACACTGGTTTTAGGCTTGGTAATGTGGCTTGCTTTTGTCACTGGCATATGAGCAGAAGTGTATGTGCTATTTCTCAGCAGAAAAATTAAAAGCTTATTTAATGTCCTAAGTATTTAATGTCATAAGATGCTAAAATCAAAACACAGAGAGCAGAACAGTAAAAAATGAGGAAGGTCAGTTAACCTGGTTTCCTTTTCTTAAAAATGGAACTGGAGTTACTATCTACTTCATTGGGTTGTTGTGAGAATTTAATGAGTACAAATAAAGCACTCTGCTGTTGTTAGGTCCTACTGAGTTGAGTATGTCTCATGGCAACTCTATGAACAACAGCCATGAACTCTACCCTAACTTGGGCCATTTTCACCATCTCTAACACAGCTGAGCTCATTGAGGCAGTTGCTGTGTCAATCTATCTCATGGGGGGGTGGAGGGGGGTCTTCCTCTGTTTTGGTGACCCTCCACCTTTCCAAGCTTGATGTCCCTTTCCAAGAAATAGCCTCTTCTAGAATCATGTCCAAAGTATGAGAGATGAAGCTTCACTATCTTTGCATTTAAGAAGCACTCTGGCTGCACTTGTTCGAAGATCTATCTGTTTGTTCTTTTGACAACCCATGAGATATTCAGTGCTCTTCTCCAATGCCACAATTCAAAGACATCAATTAATTGTCTCTTATTCTCATTCCTTGCCCAGCTCTCAGATGCACTGCAAGTGACTGAAAAGTCCATGGCCTGAATTAGGTGCACCTTAGTCTGCAAACTGGCATCACTCTAGGGAGTACTATATATATGTCTGTTATTATCACTGTTATAAATTGACAGTTCATTTACTGCTCCAAAGGCAGGAACAAAGAGACAAAGGGTTTTCACTTAGTAATTAAACTAAATGATCAATTCTTTCAAATGATAAAGTTTATCAAAGAACACTTACTTTACTAACACAAATTATTACAAAAGCTAAATGCAAAAACTTACTTCATGAAGTCATCTAACTAAAGACTGCACTCAAAATATTTTTATTTTTAAAATCCAGTAGTGTTGACTTACAGAAGACTTGGTGGCAGATATGAAATTTAAGCCCTAATTTTCATTATTCATGTCTTATTCCAATTTTTAATTCATGTTTTTCCCTTCATCAAAGGAAATATTCATTTGTAGATTAAGCTCAGAACTCATAAACTATACATAAAAGCATCTTTTTAATATCTTCAAAATTAAACTAGAATTACAAAATATAGCAAATAAATTCATGAAATAAAATTTTAAAATCCATTATAAACTACAATAAAATAAAGTAAATAAAGTACCTGAGATTCAAGTGGAATGAAGGAAATATTTATTTCTTTACATCTTCTTATTGACTTGGAGCAAGAAGTCTTAATTTTGTTAAAGACACTATCAGGGCAAACTGAAAGAAAAAAAATTTGAAGGATTTAACTCTACATGACATTTAAATAAGTCATTCCAACATCTAAGATAATTCATCCTTTGCAAACACATTTTTTATAGATATTTTGTTACTATGATAATTTTTTTCATATTTATGAAAATACCTTGGGGATAAGCTGAAGTTGGTCCAAAAATCAGCATGTTATTTTCACAAAAATACTGTGACTTTCACAGTTACTTACTACAATAGAGAAAAAATATATGTCTCCATATCATAAAAGAAATGTATTCTAGTCATGAGCACTATAATTCCATATTCCTCAATTACATTCCCTAAAAATTCAGGGATCAACTAACAGAATTAAAATTCTTAATAAGAAAAACCATGTCCAAACACACTTCCTAAACTTTTGCAGCACTCTGATAATTTCTTAGGAGTTTATAATATTTTCCAAACCTGTTATTAAGCGAACTTCAGTACACAGAAGTGAATTGTTCCTTGAATTATAGAAACTTCTCTAATGTCAGGAAATTCCAAGACTCTAGTGGCTTAGTGGTTAAGGAGTTGAACTGTTAACCCCCAAAACAGGAAGTTCAAATCAGCTCCACTGGAAAAATATGGGCAATCTCCTCCCATACAAATCACTGTCTCTGGATGATCAGCTGTAAGTCAGTTCCGACTTGATAGTATATAACAAAAACAACAAACTCCTAAGTTCAAGGACTTAGAATTTAAAAAAAAAATTTATTTACACTTGAAAACTTAAACACCAGAGATATTTTGTCCTGAATTTGTGTTATTTCCAAGGTCTCAAGTGGAGCAGCAGCAGGCAAGGAAGACTCAAGGGCCAATCTAGATGATTTTATCAAGACATTACCCGGAAGGAGCCTGATTGAGACTTGATCTGGACTACATCTCCCCACAGTACGTGAACAGCACAGGCAGTTTCCTGGAGCCTGTGATAGCCTTCTCAACTTTTCTCATCACTAGGTCATCAATAATTTTTCCTGAAGTTTTCTACATTTTAGGCACAACATCTGCAAAAAGCTTGATCTTTATGCAGCCAACTTCCTCTCCTACTGCCTAATTCCTCCACAAGCCGAGGCTAGGATGGGCAAGAATCCTCCTCCTCCTTTTTCTTCCCTCACCCTCACAAATAGGTCAGTAGATAGTGGCCAAGTTCACTCTGGCTTCCTGAGTCTCTGTCCTTAGGTTTGTGAGGACTTAGAACTTTTAATAGTTGCATTAACTCTTGGTTGGAAAATGAACTATAAGCTCCTGGTGTTTTTAACATTATGCTCTTTAGTCTCAAGATTTTAAGTTAGAAGAGGCTTCATATTTATTAAATGCTTCTAATTTCAAAAACATTGAAGTTCTATATGATAAAGATACATAAATGAAAATACTCAAGGTACGGGATTTTACATGCTCAAATTGTTGTTGTTATGTGCCGTCAAGTCACCTATGACTCATAGTGACCCTATGTACAACAGTTCTGAGGTCTCCCCTGTCATGAGCCAGTCTCACTGACTGACAAACCTACCATCACTGCCCCAGTTACTCTAATCTAGGGTCTTCCTATCCTCTGTCCTGCGTTGTCCCTCTACTTCTCCAAGCTTGGCGGCCTTCTCCAAGGTTCGGTCCCTCCTGGCCATGTGCCCAAAGTATGTGAGACGGAACTTCTAAGGAGAAACTTGGTTTCACCCTCTCCAAGACAGACCTCTTTGTTTTCTTGGCGGTCCATGGTATGTTCAAGACTCTTCTCCAGCACCACAACTCAAAGACATCTCATAGAGTTGATAATGTCTGGTAACAATCCTCCATAAAGTTTCCAGTTTTCTTACTGGGAGGAGAGTACCATCTTTTTACCATGGTAGATCTGAATCACCACATAGTAGTCTTTTGTTAGCAGTAAAACATTATAGAGATTTAAATTACTCAGACTCAAACTCATTGCCAATGGAACTGATTCACAGCTGATTCTCCAGTAGGTTTTCAGAGGCTATAAACTGAATGAGAGGAAACTGCCCATCTATTATCCACTGAGAGGCTGGTAGATTTGAACTGGGAGAGAAGAGGGGTCTTTGAGTAAGCAGAGCAACTCATGGAAGATATCTCCTTTAAATGACCACTGTAATGGCCCTGTGAACAGCAGACCAGAACCATGCCCTGCCCTCCAGCACCCTCACAACCTTACTGTACTCAGATCCACTGCTGCAGTCACTGTGTCAAATGACTACTTGGCAGGAAATAAGTAATAATAATATCCAAGAGAAAAAGATATTCTTTAAAGTCAGGGGAGCTATAATGGCAAAGGTTAAGGTAACTTAGATAAATGGTATTTCTATTTTCATGTATAGTTGGCCTCTGAACAGCACAAGTTTCAACTGTGCAGGTCCACTTATTCTGGGGTTTTCCTGTTGCTGCTGCAGTGAGGGCAGGTGTTGTGAGTATCCATTTACAACTCCATGTGACATTCATTATCTCCATGAGAGCAACTCAGCTCTCAGTACATGCACAATTCAAACTCGATGTTCAAGAGCCAACGGAAAATTATACACAGATTTCAGAAAGGATGCAAAGTCCGTGGCCCTAATTCTCATGACGTTCAAAGGTCAAATATACAAAACATATTATCCAAAACAGAACGCTATGTGTCTGTTAACTTCCCTGGGATTTGGTTTAGCTGTTTCCTATTTTTAAAATGTCACAGGAAGAAAAATGTGACAGTATTTGTAAGAAAGATGGCTGTTTCTTCTGTGTCTTCTTAAAGCTCTCATTTCTTATTTTTTAATGAAGTTCCCAAATGAACTTCAATTTAAAAAAAAAATCTCCTGAGATCAGCATAGAACTTAAGGGACAATTTCCCATGCTGTACTCTCCACTAACCTTCCTCTCTCAAATTAAAGCAAAAATTATTATTTCAAACTAATCTAGGAGGTTTCTTTTAATTTTCTATCATCTTAACATGGACTAGAATAAAGTTATATTTTGACTCTCAGCTTAATTACAACAACAGAAATTGCTGGTACTGTAATAATAATATGAAAATTAGATAATTAGGTAGTTTATGAAAACGGGATTTTACAACAAAACAGTAACTTTAAGAGAAGATACTCACAGTCAGTGAAGTATATATATGCTGCTTTGTATTTGTTCTCCGATTTACTTGCAAAATCACGTAAAAAAGAATCTACAGACTTAAAAAGAGTTAGCTGTTAATGCACATTTCATTAAATACTAATTTAAATATGCTAGCTTTTGAGAAAAATATTGTTTTATCTCAACAATTAAGTAAAACCTTACTGTCTAGAAAAATATTGTTTTATCTCAACAATTAAGTAAAATCTTACTGTCTAGAAGTTTGTTTATATATTTTTTAAAGATACAATGTTCTCTAGATAACAATGACCAAAAAATATTATAATAATAAGATTTTTTTAAGAAAACACTCATACCACAAAAGCAATTCTTTCCAAGTTTAAGGCATATTATTATTTCTCTAAAATTTGTATTGTGCTAAATCAAAGGCCTTCCTATATTATCAAACAGGAAATTAAAAGTTGTGAGAGAAAAAGATTCCACCTAGATTAGAAAAAAAATATCAGATACAAAAGTACTTCCCAAAATTATCTAACATTTTAGATAGAAAGTAAACAAAATGAATAATAACCTTTTAGTTGCTGTGGAAAGAAAAGTCTAACTCTGTCTTACTTAGTATATCAGTAATTAAAAATCCAGTGGGAAAATAATGTTCTAACACTTGAGTAAAACTCTTTCCCAAATGAAAAAGTGGGGAGGAAGTGTGTACATTACATAGACTGGGGTCCCTATACATCAATTGCTAACTGTCATTCTTGAAAAAAATCAGCCAGTAAAGAATCTGTTCTGGAAAACAATGTATTCGAATTTTGTAAATAAACAACTACAATGTAACAAAAATAATCAGCCAGTTAATTAATTCAACTTAGGCTAACTCATAAGGGGTTTACTTTTTAGTCTTTATGTGTAGTTTTAGGACTCAGTTCTCCTAACAAAAAAGATAGGAAGGTTTTAATGAAAACAAGTTATAACTTTACCCCTCTCTCTTATGTCCTCTGTTACGTGCCTTCAAGTCAGAACTCTCGGAGGCTGTAAACTACCTGGGAGGAGTATGCCCACATTTTTCTCACAGAGCTGCTGGTGGTTCAAGCCACCTGCCTTTGGGTTGGCAGTGCAACTCTTTAGTCATTAAGCCACCAGTTGTCGCTGTTTTAAGTACCTTCGAGTCAGAACCATTATAGCTGATTTTCCAGCCGGTTTTAAGAGGCAGTAAATCACCTGGGAGGAAAGCACCCATTTATCTTCTGCAGAGCAGCTGGCAGATTCAAACCACATACCTTTGGGTTGGCAGAGCAACTTTTCCACTAGGCCACTCGAGTGACTTTTATTTCTTTTTTTTTATTAATTTCAATGTATTTCTTTTATTATTTTTAATAAACAAAGTGATCAGTTACTCCTATTATTTGTATCAATAGGACTTTTCTTATTCCTCATCATTCCATAATATAGGACAGACACTAGAAATTTTTTCCTAGTTACTAATGTTGCTGTACAGAGTCTGATGCAAAAAATGTCCTCATTTTCACTGTTTTCTTATTTGGAATATGCATTTTCACAACTTCTTTCATCCACAAATTATCTAGGAATATGTCTCTTAATTTCCAAGTACTCAAACTTGAGTTACTCTTTATAGATTTTTAATTTTACTGTATTATGATTAGACAACGTGGTTAGTATAGTATCTCTGAAATATGTTAAAATTTTTTGTTATGTACATATTTTTGTAAATATTATCATGAAAATATAAAAATATTCTGTAAATGGGCAGATATCCTGTAAACATTCTGTATATGGGTAGATTCCAATTGATAAAAAGTCTGTTCCAGCTGACTGTCATAAATTGGTTCTAATGTATGTAAATTTTCCCCTAAGTTTACATTATTATTATCTTTTATTATCAATTTCAGAAGTCTGATCTTTGAATATCTGATAATAATAGCATCAGTAAATGGCATTCAGCAAGACTGTATGCAATATATATCACCAACATTAAGATATTAAAAACCCCAAACCACCAAACCAAGATGGTCTTAAATGTGGGTCATGTTAATGCAAATCTATCATGACAGAGGTCACTTGAATAAATGAACTAATTTCTGTTTATATTTCTTGAAACAAAGACAGCAATTATTTATCATTGTCTTCACTTATTTTTAGTCTACAGAGTTTACTGAAAGGTGTACTAAGCTTTTTATTGTAACAGTTTTGCCTATCATACTAGTTGCTATGTGATCTGGTTGACAGATTTATTAATGTTGTATTCTCTTAAATTTGTTATTTATAATTTCATAATATTCCTTCCTTTTCCTCTTGTTTGGGGCTTTAAAACATAAATTTTACCTTGTCTAATACTAACACTGCCACTTCTAGACCTCTCTGTCTATCATTTTATTTTCAACATTTATCATTCTGTTCTTGAAAATGGTGTGCTCCTTATGAACACATTTTGTGTCTTAAACCAATTATACAGTTTCTGGTTTTTTAAAATAAAATATGAAATTAAAATCATGACTTTAAATTGACTTGTGTGTGTTCTCTTATTTTATATTAACTATTTTTATACTGTGTTTTTATCTTTTTCTTTAATTTGAAAATTTCATGACACTTTCCCTCCTCCTAATGATTATCTAGGGAGCTCCGCTGGCCTAGTGGGAAGAAACAGCACTGCAATCCCGAAGGCATACCATTCAAATACACCAGCTTCTCCATGGGAGAAGGATGGGCAATCTCTTCCTTGTGATGTACTGTCTCTGTAAACATGGTGGAGGGTCAGCTATGGGTCAGTTCCAACTCAAGGGCACAAAACAATGATCATCTTTTCTTTCTCTGCATTTATAACTAGTCACATTACTATTATTTAAAGATACTAATCAATTCTCCCCACTAAAATTGTTCCTCTCGTTGCTCAAAGGGGTACCTTTAGAAAACTCTTCTAGGCTGGGTAAGATGGGAAAAGATATAAGGAGTATAAGGGCATAACATGCATAAGAAGGTGGAAAAAGGTAATAGACCAAAGACATTTCTAAGGTAAAAAAAAATCATAGGAGTGGTCACTGAAGGGGAGAAAGAAAAAAGAGAAGGTTTCTATTGTGAGAGAGCTGGAAACTTGGCATTCATGATTTTTATAAAGAAGGTGTTATAATTAGCAACGAGCAGGTCTAGGAATAATCAAAAGGCTCCCGGCTCAAGGTAGACAGAAGACAAGACCACCGAGAGAAGCGCATTAAGGGCCTGGCAAGCCAGTGCACTGGAATTGGCTACTCAATGATGAAATTATCCGGAACTGTAGTTAAAAAATGCAAAGTAACAATGAGCTAGGAGTTAAATTGTGTCAAGAGATTAGAAAGAAAGATCTAGGGACTGTAGATGAGTGCAAGGAAAAGGAAGCACCCTCAGTACTAGGAATATTAGGGGGTAAAGATAAAAATGGGTTTTAGAAGCAAAAATGAAGAGCCAAGAATTTAATTCCAACCTCTCTGCCTCTTTTACATTCTGGAAGGCTGAAGGCTCTTTCTATAGTAAACTGTAAACTACCTCCTGGATCTGTTCTGCAAACGTCTTTTCTTTCTCCCTATAATCTCCATGTCTTTGTTGCTTCGAGGTATTCCATTCTGATTTTATAGGTCATAAAATAAAATCTAAATAGTGATTATCCTCACTTTCAATTAATTGCTCATCTAAGAAATCATACATTTGAGCTTCTCAAATTTTTCACGTGTGAAACTGAACTTATATGTACTGTTTCTCTGCTTGAGTTATTCTTCCTCCAAGCAGCTTTATTTTGACAGATATACTACCTTATTCATTCTTACTAAACTTCCACTCCAGCGTCATGACCCACTTGGCTGTGTGGTTGTTGCTTTTCTTTGTCAATTCATTCCAGGCTTTAGCTCCAGGTATTAAGTGTATCCCAGACAGAGGCAGTTCCACAAGAGGAAGGCAAAGAGGTCTCTCCTCCTGAAGGCTCTCCATGTAAAAGTGGATAAAGCACCAGGGCAACTGACCTCTCCCCAGGGGCTCACAGCTCTCCTATAGCCAAGCTTTTCCTGAATTCTCTAAGTTTATAATCTTTGCCTGGAATCTTTCTGAAATTGGTCTCCTGGTGCTTTCCTAGTCCATGAGGAAGTGAATCTCACACTGGATTTGTCCACAAGAACTTCCAACAAATCAAGGCCTCCAGAAACCTGGGAGGCCCAATGGGAAAGGGTTTAAGGACTGAAAGAGAAAATGGAGGTGGTTGTGGTAGATGAGGGAATCAGGTACCATCTCCTAGAACTATTTTTCTCCTTTACTGAATATACAATTTTGAATCCTGCTTTTACTCCACATTAGAGTGAACATTTAGGTTCGAATCCACTAGATGCTCTGCTGAAGAAGGAGGGACTATCTCCCCTGTACCAGTCAGATCTGATTTGATGGTACACACATTAAAAAAATAAAAAGTAATAAAAAAGACGTGAACATTTACCTACACATCAGAAATTCCTAGAAAATGTCTTTTTGGCTACGTGGTCTTTCAAATAATTTTCTATTAATACCAAGAATTTAATTAAATCTACTGCTAGGAATTTAATTTGACTTTATTTCCTTATAGCAAACTCAGTGACAAAAAATTTTAAAGGTTCTTGTTGAGGAATAGCAAATTATTTTTCACAATGGGTGTTATCAACCTATATTCCTACAAGCAGTATTGGGCAGTTTCTGCTCAATGACCCAGTGATGCTTTTAGAATGTTTTATATGTGTGTGTGTGCGTGTATGTGAACATATATAAACACACACATACACAGAGTGCACACGCATACACAAGAGAGCACTCAAGTGAGTGTGACCATCCTGGTGGCACCAGAGGTTAAAGCACTTGGCTACGAGCCAAAAGATGAAAAAGGTGCTTTTTTATCTGGCATTTTCTACCATCATGAATTTTCTCTATGTTGCAGATATAAAATGTTATTAAAGCTCACTGTTTACATCTGCAAACAATAATGTAACAGACTAAAGAGCAACTACTTATTTCCTCTCCTGCATGCTGGAATTACAAGTGAAATGAAAATCAGGATTGCTAAACTAACATCCTAGGTGAGAATAAGTAAAAAAAAGGGGTGGACAAGAATTCATTCTTAGGTAAAGAATCTAAAGGAATTTGATAGGTTAGCAGGCTTCCAGAGGTGTGGCTCAAAGTATGAGTCAGATCATAAACTGAAGAAACGCCTTTTACAAATTACACACACACACACACACACACACACATCTATACATGCAATTTAATACATATATACCTGTCTACTCCTCATTTACAAATTATCTCGTTTTCTGGCATTTTGTATTTATACAAGTGGTAAAATTCTCTATCCAACTACTATGTGAGATAATGATGTATGTGTGGCAGTAACAAATATGGAGGTGAGAATAACGTTAGCTGAAATGGTTACGGCTATGTATGTGTCAACTTGGTTGGGTTATAATTCTCACAAGGTTCAGTTATATAATTTCATTGCATATATGAATTAAGTTACACAATGCTGTCATCTTCCATTTTGGGAGCTTATGGGGCTACCTTCCGTATTTTGCACAATGCTGATTTCTGCTCAACAATCTCATCTTTGGAACTTACTGATGCTGGGAGGTGAGGAGTCGGGGTACATATATAGCTGCATGACACTGAGTAGATTCTGATGCACAGCAACCATCTGTGACAGAGTACAGCTGCCCAGAGGGTTTCTTAGGTTGTAGTCACTGGAGGTCTTTTCTTCTGCAGAATACTGACAGTGTGATACACATATGTGTGCACATACTCACACAAACATGAGAGTGGTATAATTTTATAGGAAAGTCACTAAGATAATAATAGATGGATTAAGACTATGGCTTCTACCAACCTTTTCATCCCCTCAAAATTATGGTTTAATAGAAACAAATTTTTTTAAAAAAACCTTATTTTATATTATTAAGTTCTGATTTCACATACAGAAGAAAGAAGGTTACAATGACTTGTACATCCTCTTTGGGAAGAGTGCAAATAAAACTCTTCTAAACCAGAAAACAACTTTCCTAAACATAACAATATTTTTCTAATAAAGTGTATTGTATTGCATTACTTTTCCTATTAGAAACCCATGGCATTGGTGAGAGAATTAAAGAATCTTATTAAAGACTCAAAGTACTCACCTTTGATGTTGGAGAGATAAAATAAAGAGCTTTCATTTGTCTGACAGGTTCACGGTTCTTATAAATATTCTCCACCACTAACAACAACAAAAAAAATGTATTTATAATTACATATGGGCAATATCATTAATATCACATGCAAGCAAGATTCTGCTGAAAATTATCCAAAAATGACTGGAGCAATATGTCAACAGAGAACTGTCAGATGTGCGGGCTGGATTTAGAAGAGGCCGTGGTACTAGGGATATTATAGCTAATGTTAGATGGATCTTGGCAGAAAGCAGAGAATACCAGAAGAATGTCTATTTGTGCTTCATTGACTATGCAAAGGTGTTTGACTGTGTGGATCATAACAAGCTGTGGCTGACTCTGAGAAGAATGAGAATCCCAGAACATTTGATTGTGCTAATGCAAAACCTATACTTGGACCAAGAGGCAGTCATCAGAACAGAGCAAGGAGACACTACATAGTTCAAAATCAAGAAGGGGGTC